GCTGGCCGCGGCTTCCCGCCGCCCCCATTGGCCCGGGACAGCGAACCGCGGCCAGTGGGGGCCGCGATCAGCTGAACCTGCCACATCAGCAGCTAAATAAACTGGCCCGGCCCACCAGGGTGCTTACCCTGGCGAGCCGCATGACAAAGGTTGCCGACCCCTGACTTACAATCTACCAACATAATCTAGCCTCAAGCCCCCACCCCAACCTTCACATCTGGCCCTCTCCCCTGCCTCCTACTGTCCTCTCACATACAATTAGCCTCCACCTTCACACAAAGGCTCTCCTCAATCACCCTGCTATTGCCCACCCCACACACACTTTCAGCCCAGGGCTGTCACCCTCCCTTCTACTACCCCCCCCCCCGAGCCAACCCCACCTTCAACTCAGACTCCCCTCCCTCTGCCCCTTCCACACCCAACCCCCACCTTCACACCCTACTTCTCCTACCCCCTCCCCAAGGAGTCACCACTGGCTCTCCCTTCACACTTGCCCCACAACTGCCCCTTCCCCCCAAACTGCTCTCTACCACTCCCCGGAGTGCAGGGGAGAAGTTTCTGGGCATTCTCACTGGCAGGGGGTGGTGGCAGCCAACCCCACTGTCACTGCCCTCCTGGCCCTGAGAGCCACAGAGAACCAGCCTCTCCCACGTTGCCCACAGTGGTGGCCAGGGACACACACACGGGCTGAAGCTGCAAGGTCAAGACGGTGCCCAGGAGCCCACGGCCGGGCATCAGGGTTGCTGGGGGGGGGAGGGGGGCGCATGGTGAGAGTCACAGCACTGCTGCCACCCTAGGCAAGCAGGGGAGACTCGGAGGCGGGGCGGGGGGGGGCGAGCCAGGAGCCCCTACCCCATGGGTAGGGTGGCGCAGCAGGATCAGTGCCCCAGCACTGGGAACCCTCTCCCTGCACCATTTCCCCTTTTTTTTGGTCCATTCCCTGCCACTCGCTTCAACTGGGGTAGCTCACAGGATGGCGCTGGGCATTATGGGACTACTAGTGTAGCTGGCAGCGCAGGTCCAAGGGCCTCGGTGGAAGGCACGTGAACTACAACTCTGAGCACACCTTTCAGCACATTGCTTGGCTGTGGCCAGGGCTGAATTAACCCTTTGTGGGCCTCCAAGAAGTCATTATGGACCCCTTCCAAATGTGGGCCTGGCGCCACTGGCGCTATTGTAAACCCGGTACTGACATTAGGGGCATCTCCACTCTAAAATTTGAGTATTAGCTCACTAAACAACAATACACCTTGAAAGTATTTGAAACAACAGGAGGCAGGATCTTAAATTGTTAGGCATTTCCAATAGAGGGAGGAGTGAGGACAAAATAATGTAGCTAAATCTGATAATTTTGTAGGGGAAGCCTAGCAGACAGTTATAACAAGCTAGTCAGCTGAAACTATCATCAGCATGACAATGGTTTTGAAAGTAAACTGAGGCAAAAAAATACTGCGACTGGTTACCTGGGACCCTCTTTGTGTGGCTCTTGTCCAGTTGCTGGAGGTTAGGCATTCTCTAATGAGTTGGGATTGAGAGTTACTAAGTAACAAGTAGACTTTATTACCATAATTCATTCAAGTGGCGGAGAAAGAATCCACTATGGAACTTGAGAACCATAAGGGCTGGGGCAATTAGGGATTTATATACTTACTGTTTGATGCTATAATCCATAAACTCTGTCTTGAGGATAGCAGCAATAATGTTCTGGATCTAGTAACTGTGTGCGCCATTCCTCAGAACAGTACTGCACACGGTTTCTCCTGACACTAATGTACAGTGTCTTGGGGATAGTACATAACTTTGCAGAGTATCTCCAGAGATGTGAAGGC